TAACAGGTTAATGATGGTATCATTTAGCTTCTTTCCACCATGAACAATACAGCATTATTATTATGGCCTATGCAGAAGTCCTGGCACTTTTATTTAAATATCTCTCACCTCGGATGCTGGTCAAAAACATTAAGGTTCCTACACCTCACTCCACTAATTGGGATTCAATATTTCTTAATTAGGGGCCCTAACATCCGCACTTTTAATAAGCACCCTGTCATGGTTGGAATTATGTCCCCCCAAAAATGTGTGTATCAATTTGGCTGGGCCATGATTCCCAGAATTGTGTGGTTGGACTCCATTTTGTGATTGTAATTTTATGTTAAAGAGGATTAGGTGGGAATGTAACACTGCCCTTACCCAGGTCACATCGGGGATCCAATATAAAGGGAGTTTCCCTAGGGTGTGGCCTGCACCACCTTTTACCTTACAAGAGACAAAAGGAAAGGGAAGCAAGCAGAGAATTGGGGACCTCCTACCATCAAGAAAGAATAACCAGGAGGGAGCGTGTCCTTTGGACCCAAGGTTCCTGCGCAGAGAAGCTCCTAGTCCAGAGGAAGACTGATGACAACGAGGACCTTCCTCCAGAGCCAACAGAGAGAGAAAGCCTTTTCCTGGAGCTGACGCCCTGAATTTGGCCTTCTAGCCTACTAGACTGTGAGAAAATAAATGTCTCTTTGTGAAAGCCATCCACTTGTGGTATTTCTGTTAGAGCAGCACTAGATGAATAAGACACACCCTAAGAGATTCTGACCAGAAGGTTCTCCTATGATATACCATGAAACAGGAACACTAGTGTACAGCAGAAGCTTTCAAACATTTTTTCATAAGCTATTCTTTTTTTTCAAACCAAGTCTTATCTGGAAACCCAGATACATAAATAAAAGCATAATGGCCTTGTGGGCTCCAGGATGAAGTTTGAAAATCACTGTTCTAGTGGACACAGTACTTACCGATAAAGAGGCCAGAAGCTGGTGGCACCACTCTTGAGCCTCAGTTTCCTTATTTATGAAAGCATTTCCCTTCTATCTCCAACATCTTATGATCCTACAAAGGCCACTACATTTGTTGCTATTATTGTTAGTTGCCGTCAAGTTGATTCTAACTCATGGCGACCCACGTGTGCAAAGTACAATTGCTCCACAGGGTTTTCAAGGTTGTGACCTTTCAGAAGCAGATCGCCAGGCCTGACTCCCTAGGTGCCTCTGGGTGGGTACAAAGCACCAACTTTTCGGCTAGTAGTCTAGCGCTTAACTGCACCCCCCAGGGACTCCTAATGCCACTACCACTACTACGAATAGCTAGTATTTAGCAGGCACTTACCAATGTGCCAGGGACAGTTCAATTATTTAATCATCACAATCACTTTATGAGTACTATTAATCTATTATACTGATGAGGAAACTGAGGCACAAAGAGGTTATGTGACAATAGCTGGGGTGAAAATTTATATATACATTAATCGATACCACAGAATTGTGAAAGAAGAAATGATATCTAGAAAAGCTGTTGCTTATCCAAGGTCAAAGAACTGGAATTTAACTCAGCTCTACCAGACTCTAAAATTCATCCACTTAACCAATCAATATATTTGCACGTTTGGTCCTATGTTATACCATGAAATCTTTTTAATGGCCCCCACTCATGTGTTGTTATTGTGGTTTTAGTGATTGGCATTCATATCTCCATGGAGATGGTCTATCCTCCCAACTAGATTATAAATGCTGTGGATCAGGGATTATTTTATATTTCTGTATAAATAGCCTAGGAAATACAGGCCATGAATTATGTAGGTCTTTAGTTATTCAATTGGAAGTGATCTTCTGGGCTCTATTTTTTTATTAACTTGAATTTTTTTCAAGTAGCTTATTAAAAATTATAATCCAAAGAAAATACACCAATGTTACTACCACAACTGTTGAAATTAAACTGTCTCCCCCTGAGTCAGTAGCTGGAAGGGGGGAAAAAACCAACAAACAAAAAAAACCTTTCTTCAGTTTAAATTTGACATTTTCCCTAAGGGTGATGTGATGGTTAAGATTGTATGTCAACCTGGCTAGACCATTATTCTCAGTGTTTTAGCAGTTGTATAATGCTGTGATCACCCCCATGATGGAATCTGCTGAGCGGTACCGGTGGAGGTGGGGCCGGTGGCAGCTCACCACCATCTCAGTTTCATCTTTCTGCCTTCTGCCGGTTATTTTCTGCTTGCTCACCTTGCCAAGGTTTTTGGCTTGTTCCAGACTCAGCAGCTGCCTCTCGTTGTCTCACCTCCAGTTCGTGGGACTTGAGCTAGCAGCTTACCTGTTGATCTTGGAATTCGTTGAACTTCTCAGCCTGCAAGCAAGAGTCTGGTTCCCCGACCTGCTGACCTTAGGTTCGCCAGCCCCTGCAGCTACATGAATCAGGAGAAACCTTGTGGTCTTGTCTGCTGATCTTGGAATTCATTGACCTTCACTGCCTGTGAGCGGGAGCCCCTCTCCGACCTGCCGACCTTGGGTTCACCAGCTTCTGCAACTACATGAACTGGGAGAGGCCTCTACCCTGATCTGTGGACTTGGGACTTTTTATCCTCTACAATCATGTGAGCTATATCCTTGATATAAATCTCTCTATATATACATTTATACGCTTTACTGGTTTTGCTTCTCTAGAGAACCCAGCCTAAGACAGGTGAATAATTATATTTTTGAATATAATGTCAATATGAATAAGTACTTCTGGGCATCTCTCTTCTTTCTCCTCTTATTAATGCTTTTTGCTGTCTTGTAGCAACTGATAGGTAACAGATGGGTAACAAGAAGGTGGTTAAAGATACAATTAGAAAATCTTGGAAGGTGCTTATAATATCTACTTATACTGCCTGAAAATATCAGTAGGACATTTGACAGGAAGTGGTGCTTATTAAGTTGTATTTCTCAAATACTTAGCAAATAATAACGTGTACAAGTAATTTTTCTTAAATACCGTGTTAATCTTGGATGTGTCCGGTCTGTGGTCAGATACACTATCATCTTCCAACTATATTCATTGACCACATATTTGAAATTTGGTCCCTGAGACCATTGCAGGCCTTCCTACTCATTCCCAGCTCCCACTGTTATTATATCAGCAGCCCCATGAGAGTACAATTTCTCAGTCATGATCTACTTTAGGGATATGTTGGAGACTGTATTAACTGACATTCTTATAAATCTATACAACACAGATACAAGTCATAATAACAATTGAGATTCAATTAGTATCTAGACATTTTGATCTCTAGACTTTGATAGAATAAGGTCATCTAGAGCAGTTGTTCTTAAACCTGGTTCCAGAAATTTGTTAAAAATGTAGAAGCCTAGAGCTCCTGCCTGCACCTATAGATTCAGTATCTTGAAGTAGAGCCCAGACACCTATAATTTTAACAAGCACCACAAGTGATCGTGATGTTCACCAATGTTTGAGAACCACTGAAACACATCATTTCTTTGTTCATTCAACATGGTCTACCAATATACACAAAGCTTAGTATATAAACACATTGTCTTTTCAGTATTGTTCCTTGGGTCACAAACTATGAAGCAATTTGAGGAAAAACGATTATGACCTATATTTTTAAAAAACACCTCCTCTTTCCCCTATCCCTCTATCAAATATCTAGCTGGGCATACAGTAGGCAAGTGTTGTTGGATTACTTTGGTCATCAATCCCTCAAATAAAACATGTTGGTACATCTTCGGGTGGTACATCAAAGAATCCTTTTCTTGCAAAAGAAGTCTGTATAAATTCTGGGTGTGTGTGTGTGTGTGTTTCTAATTCTGAATTAAGGCTAAATTGGTGGCGTAGTGGTTAAGTGCTACGGCTGCTAATCAAAAGTTCAGCAGTTCGAATCCACCAAGCACTCCTTGGAAATTCTATCGGGTGGTTCCACACTGTCCTATAGGGTCGCTATGAGTTGGAATCGACTTGATGGCAATGGGTTTGGTTTTCCTGGGTTTTTTAGCAAGACAATGACCATACTATTAAACTTTTGTTTTGAAGTACAGCTTTGAAGCCGGAAAAGCAAACAGACCAGGAAATATCAAGAGCAAGGAAGATAAATAGAGCCCTTCTATTCCATAAACTACTATCCTAACAAACACAATTTTCTTTCTTTTCTCCATATTACAACCCTCATTTCTTCCTTATTCTCACATCACCTCTATTCTCTAGGCAATATTCAAATAACGGAGTGCAATTTAACAGGCTATTTTGAACCAGGAATTAAGAAAAATGCTTTTCAAACTTTATTCATCCTGAAATCACACACTGTGGTTTAAGTGAGCTGAAAAATCATCCCTAGTTCTAGTGAGTTGGGAAAAATGTCTTCCAGATGTTGTATTGAACACTCTCTGAAGTCTTCATCTAAAGAGAGGCATGGCAAGAAGCATGGCATGAAGCTGCCAGTGACCAAAGGCTTTTGCTGATGGAAGCGTTGCAATGTGACAAATGTGGGAGAGGAGGCCATTCAAACATTTGGGCATCAAATTACTCCTCTAACTGTGTTCACTGGGAGCAAATACCAAGCCCCATGTGACAGGGTCTTTGTGCTGTTGGAAAGGAGAGAAGAGCCAGTTCAGATCTCCTTTTGTTAGGCTTGTGGGAGGAGAATAACTAGGAAGGCACACAGAGAGGAAATGAGACACTCTGAGGAACTCACTAAAGAGATAACGGGAAACAAACTGGTGCCAGCACATCAGCACACAGTGAACTCTCCAGCGTCCTTCACTGCCTGAGACTGAACGAGGAAAGGATCAACAAAGTCACTGTAGCGTGTGTGTGCAGTGGGCCAATTTTACCAATAAATTCACCATAACCTTAAACATCTCTCTCTCTGTTCTTTATAACCTTTCAGAATAATTCAATGATTCTCTTCCTTTTCTTAGAAAAACATTAATTTTTTTGGGGGGGGACCCTAAATATTTTATCAACAAGCACAAGAAAAACAGTCACAGCTATTGAAAGCATTCCTTACTTACCAGTTTTGTAACGTCTTTCACATCATCAGTCACACGATTCCCGCAGATCCCTTTAGTTTTGACGAGAGGATTAAACAGGAGCAGTTGAAGATAAATGCAAGTGAAAATCCAAGTCTAAATGAAAACAGAAAAATTGCTTCATGACTTTCAGTTAAAGTCTGTAGTCGTTCCAACTATGAACATCTTATGCCTCAATGTAGAAAAGGTCAATTTACCATATTAAAAAAAAAAAAAAATTCCTACTGGCTTAACTACCATTAATGCTAAGCATCCAAACTATGCTGACCAAACTTAAAAATATCTCAGTTAAAATACAGCCCGAATTATTCATTTCAAAGACATTATTGTTAACTTTCGTCAAAAGCTTTCTAAAGCCAATTTCCTAGTGACAATTAGGAATGAACTTGTAGCAACACATAATGGATTTATCACTTAGGGTGTCTTCTAAAAAGTAGGGAATGCATAAAATTCATACCTTAAGGCACCAAAGGAAACTTTCTACTTTAAATGTCGACTCTTTGGCAAGTAGCAGCATAGCCCTTGAGCAGTGCTTTAATCCAATAGTCTAAAACAGTACTCCAAGTTAAAGTGAGGGAGAAAGAGATATTTTTAGATCTAGGACAGAATTTAACCCAATTTGTGAGATAACAAAATAATCAGTGTTTTGAACCATGACTTTTTAGCTATTTAAATAAGGAAAAATATTTCTTTATCCAACAGGAGGGCATTCTTGAACCCTAGCAGGAAGTATTGACTTCCGTTTATAAACCATATATATATATATATATATGTTGTTGTTGCCATTGAGTTGGTTCCGACTCATAGCGACCCTATGTACTACAGAACAAATCACGGCCTGGTCCTGCACCATCCTCAATAATTGCTATGTTTGAGCCCACTGTTGCAGTCACTGTGTCAATACATCTTGTCTATGGTCTTCCTCTTTTTTGCTGACCTTGTACTTTACCAAGCATGACGTCCTTCTCTAGGGACTAGTCCCTCCTGGTAACATGTCCAAAGTACGTGAGACAAAGACTTGCCATCCTCGGTTCTGCGGAGTATTCTGGATGTACTTCTTCCAAGACAGATTTGTTCATTCCTCTAGCAGTCCGTGTTATATTCAATATTCTTCTCCAACACCATAATTCAAATGCATCAATTCTTCTTTGGTCTTCCTTACTCATTGTCCAGCTTTCGCATGCAAATGAGGCAATTTTGGTGAAACACCTAGGCTTAGGTCAGGCACCTTAGTCCTCAAGGTGCTTTTTAACAGTTTAAAGAGGTCTTTTGCAGCAGATTTGTCCAATGCAGTATGTCATTTGATTTCCTGACTGCTGCTTCTACGGGCACTGATGGTGGATCCAAGTAAAATAAAATCCTTGACAATGTCAATATTGTCTTCATTTATTATATATTGGTCGAGTAGTGAGGATTTTTGTTTTCTTTATGTTAAGGCAAAATCCATACTGAAGGCTGTAGTCTTTGATCTTCATCAGTAAGTGCTTCAATTTCTCTTCACTTGTAAATCATATATATGTATATTATATATATATATATATATATCTTTGGAAATTAGCACTTTCTACTACGTATTATAGAGGCCCTGGATGGTGCAAATGGTTAATGTGCTTGGCTGCTGTCATGGATTCAATTGTGTCCCCCAAAAACGTCTGTTGGGTTGACCGGGTCATGATTCCCAGTATTGTATGATTGTGTAATCTGACATGATTTCCTTACGTGTTGTAAACTCTATCACTATGATGAGGTTATATGTGATCTCCTTATGTGTTGTAAAGTCTGTTACTATAATAAGGTATACTGATAAAGTCTACAAGATTGGACAGTGTCTTAATCTAATCTCTTTTGAGATATAAAAAAGAGAAGCGAGCAGAGACATACGGGAACCTCATACCACCAAGAGCGTGTCCTTTGGACCTCAGGTTCCTGCACAGAGAAGCTCCCAGGACCAAGGGAAGGCTGATGTATCACAAGGACCTTTCTCCAGAGCCAACAGAGAGGGAAAGCCTTCTCCTGGAGCCGATGCCCTGAATTTGGACTTGTAGCCTACTAAACTGTGAGAGAATAAACTTCTCTTTGTGAAGCCATCCACTTGTGGTATTTCTGTTAAAGCAGCACTAGATGACTAAGACAGCTGCTAACCAAAAGGCTGGGGTTTCCAGTCCACTCAGTGGTGCCTAGCAAAAAAGCCTGATGATCGACTTCTAAATAATCAGCCCCTGAGAGCTGTATGGAGCACAGATTTACTCTGATACACATGGGGTCACCATGAGTCAGAACTGACTAGATGGCAAGTGGTTTTAATCATGTATTATAGCTACTTTTATGTATGATGTATTTTCCCTTATTATGTTATATTTCAGGTTTTTAAGAACTTGGGTATCTGATTTTTTTTTTCTAGTATCTTTAGAATACTTAGCATAGTACCTTGCATATGAAAAGCCCATAATGAATATTTGCTGGATGACTCAGTGATTAATATAAAAATAGTCTAATGCTCCAACTCAATAACTACTTATTGAGCCCTTACTATGACGCAGGTACTGTAGCAGACACTAGGGAAATAAAGATGATGAAGATGCCCTTGAAATTCAAAGGCAGGTAAATAGATAACAAGCACACCCTGTGATAAATGCTTTGGGAACACAGAGAAGGAAGCCATTACTCAATTAACCTTAAGAAGGAGAACCCATGGCAGGAAGACACTGCCAAGAAAAGCCAGAGAGAAAAGGTGACTGCTGAATTTTGGAGGACAGGGAGGAATTTGCAAGAGTTGACAAAGAAAGGACCACCGTGCCAGGAAAAATAAACAGCATGAGCAAAGGCATAGAGATGTGAAGATATTTCAAAATATGTGAGATTTATTCGATAAGCTAATAATTGCCTATGACATCTTAAAATTACATAAAAGCCCAGCTGTACATGGCTAGAAATCTTTCCTATTTGCTTAGCTAGTTATATATTAAAAAGGAACTGGATTATTATTTTCAATTAAAATCTACAAGCTAATTGGCATTTACACTGGGTCAAATGATGATTCTCATTTGCTAAAATTTCTAAGACTACAATGCTTCCCACATAGATATAATTAAATTTAAAATTAAAACCATTTTATTGTGTTTTAATAATGAATCCATATTGCTTTACCATTGTGGTCTATTTTAGCAGTAATTTTCCTTAAGACTACTTTGAGCACTATCATGTCACATCTTTATATTATGTACCTTATTAAATATCCCTAACTGATAAGTGGAGCCCTGGTGGCGAAGTGGTTAAGAGCTTCAGCTGCTAACCAAAAAGGTCAGCAGTTCAAATCCACCAACCGCAACTTGGAAACCCTATGGGGTAGTTCTCCATACTATACGGTCACTATGGGTCCGAATCAACTTGACGGCAATGGGCAAACTGATAAACAAATGTTAAGGATTTTAGAAAAGAATGTTTGTTGGACCTCAGGTATGGCCATGACAATGTCTAGTAACCTCCATTACAGGCTCAAAAAATCAATTCTATCAATAGTACACCTGGATTTGATCAGGCTCTGAGAGAGTGACTCAGAATAACCAAACTCATAAGAGAAAACTTTGAACTAGAATACAAAGGTGCTAATTTATAATGTCAAGAAAACTGAAATCCCACATCATCAGACTGAATACTTTTTCAATAATTCTGCAAATAGAAAAATCAAACCCACTGCCGTCATTTCGATTCTGACTCACAGAGACCCTACAGGACAGAGTAGAACTGCCCGATAGGGTTTCAAAGGCTGTAATCTTTACAGAAGCAGACTGCCACATCTTTCTCCCGTGAAGCGGCTAGTGGGTCCAAACCACTGAATTTTGTCGGCAGCTAGGCACTTAACCACTGTACTGCCAGGGCTCCTTAATTTTGCAAAGGAGCCCAAATTACTACCATCAGAAGATGATTTGGTAAGTGAAGAATCGTATCAAAGAGAATTAGCTGACCTCTTCCACCAGATAATAAAGCCTGAGGAGCTCTTACCCACACAAGAGATACACATACCTATAGGATTAAGTACCATACTTGTTTTGACTCTTCATAGCACTGTCTCCCTTAGATTACTGTGTAAATGACTTCTGTTTTGGAGATTCTTCTTTTTGGACAATCCCAACATATAAATCTCCTCTATTTAATATAGTCTTCTTTCACGTCTGTAAATACAATTGATTAAACTCCAGATTTCTTTTATATGGAGTCTCCAGGTGGTGCAAACGTTAATGTGTTTGCCTGATAACCAAAAGGTTAGTGGTTCAAGTCCACCCATAGATACCTAGGAAGAAAGGCCTGGCAATCTATAAAAAATCAGCCATAAAAAACCCTCTCGAGCACTGACACACATGGGGGGGTCTCTATGAATCGGTATGACTCAAAAGCAACTGGTTTGGGGCTTTCTTTTATAGAGTTATTCCTAAAACTCAACCATCCCAAGGCCCTCTTTTCTGATATGATTTGAGAAGCCTCCCCAAGAATCTCTGTAGATGGCCAATTTCACTACTCATTATAATTCTAGGCTCTCTGAAATATAAAGATAGGAATTCTGTCACTTCTTTTCACCATGCCTGTTATGGACTGAATCGTGTCCCCCAAAAATGTGTGTCAACTTGGCTAGGCCATGATTCCCAGTATTGTGTGACTGTCCACCATTTTGTCATCTGATGTGATTTTCCTATGTGTTGTACATCCCACCTCTACGATGTTAATGAAGCAGGATTAGAGGCAGTTATGTTAATGAGGCAGGACTCAATCTACAAGATTAGGTTGTATTTGAGTCAATCTCTTTTGAGACATAAAAGAGAGAAGGGAATAGAGAGACAGGGGACCTCATACCACCAGGAAAGAAGAGCCAGGGTCCTTGCGCTGAGAAGCTCTTAGACCCACTGGAAGACTGATGACAAGGACCTTTCCCCAGAACCGATGAGAGACAAAGCCTTCCCCTAAAGCTAGTACCCTGAATTTGAACTTCTAGCCTCCTTAACTGTGAGAGAATAAACTTCTGTTTGTTAAAGCCATCCACCTGTAGTATTTCTGTTATAGCAGCACTAGAAAAATAAGACAATGCCTTATACCCAGGATTG